AACGCCATGCGCGTTAACTTGCTAAGGCTTTGAAACCAATAGACGGGATCCGCTATGATGTGGATCTGAAATCCAGGAAGTACCAAGAACAACAGCGGCGATCGAACAACCCCTCCTCCAAAGTAAAGAAGAACGAATGGGTCCGCGTAAAAAGGACTCGCTCTACTCTTGAGGAGCGAATCCAGAATCGTCGCGCATTGCTTGCGCACGCTCGAATCCTTGTGCAAGAAGCACGAGAAATGCAGAAGGAAGAGGTGGTGAAAAAATCACCCAAACAGAAACGGGTTTGGATGTCAAAGGCCAAATCAATACCTAAGGCAAAAGTAGACGAAGTTACCATTCAACCTCCGTCAACTCTGGATCCCACTCCCCTTGGTAGTATAGACCTTACCAAATTCAGAGTTTCTCTAAAAGACTGTCTTGGTCCTCTCCTTGAACATCGAGGTAAAGCACCTGTTAAGGAGCGATTGGGACCGTTGAAAGGCTCCCAAACAACCATTTAGGCTGGGGATCGTACTAATTCCCCAATAATAATAAAGGGAAAGCTCTTATGACTGACTGCATTGGATTGTGTGTCAAAGTCCAGGAGCCTGTTGAGATCCTACGCTCACGAAAACGTAGCCTTAGACATGTGACTCCTGAAGACGCTAATAAAGTGTTAAATTCCCAGAGGAAAATGTATTCGTCTGACGACGACGTTATACGTAGGGAGTCGTGCCAACACACGATGGGTTGTTCCGGTCATCAGACCGATGAGTTGTACTATCAGGCTAGGAATACAAACAGATCTCAAAAGAGAGATACCCGGGAGATAGACTTTCATTATCCGTGTGTCAAGCTCATCATGGTAGTATTATCAACGTATAGCTGCCCCAAGACTGCTCCACATAGGGTCTCGGTATTCCAAAGGCTTTCCTCTGAAGCGTCAAAAACTAAGCCAAGGTGTTTCCATAGAAAAAGATCAGCTACGCAAGATGACGAACTCCCAGAAGTCACTATCAATATGGTTAATAAAGGAAAGTCAACGCAGAGTTTCAGTCCCCGTCATTTTTCGGACGTATCCTAACGTATAACTCGGTTACGCATGGAAACTACTAGGCGTAGAGACTATCAGATGATGAATAGAGGATTATCCTCAGATGATGAAGCATCAAACGATAATTTTGCAGTCGCTTCTGACAAAATGATATCCAGTCCAGGACAATCCCGCGAAGTATTTATGGTTAACACCGAGGAAGTAGCCAAAATGGTTGAGGATGCTCTAGCCAAGCAGAAAGAAGCATTAAAAATCGAAATGGAAATGGCTATGCAGGAGATAAGACAAATGCACGACCAACAAATCCGAGCTTTGTCGAATCAGCTAGGTGAATCCAGTCGTCACAATAATGTTAGCCAAGCAGCTAGTGATTCAGACATGAATGAATACATCAATGCTGATGACCCTTCCATTGACCAAAATGCTGGTGGTGGTCCCACTAAGAATAACAACGCCGGGGGTGGTCCCACCAATGATGACAACACTAGGGGTGGCCCCATTGTTCCTCTTCAAAATTGACCAAGGAAGGATACGAGCGAGGATGAAAATATGAAAGAGCTCGAGAACAAAATCAACGCTCTGATGTCTTCTCGAGAGGTGAAGAAGATCGGTATTATGTGTCCCTACCCAAGAGAGTGTGAGTCGATCCTGTACCCGACAAAGTTTAATCTGATCAACTTCACGCCGTTCAATGGGAAGGGCTCACCCACTCAACATCTGATCTACTTCAAGTCCCACTTGGGCATGATCTCCGGCAATGAATCCTTGATGGTTCGGTTATTCGTTGGCACCCTTCACGGGCCCGCCTTCGATTGGTACCACCGTCTCAAGACTGGAAGCATCAACAACTGGGATAACCTAGAGAGCCTATTCCTCACTCATTTCTTTGATGATGACGCCGAGATGTCAATCAGGACACTCTTCGATGAGAAACAGGAAGATGACAAGACGGTCGACGACTTCGTCAAGCGCTTCCGAAATAAGGCAATGAACTGCCGAGATCCGATCACAGAGGACTTCATCCTCCAAACATGTCACAACAACCTCTCTTTGGACGTGTTGGAAGTTATGGGAGTAACACCGTCCAACACCTGGAAAGAGTTAAAAGTGCACGGAGAGCAAGCCGGGCGCTTCCTCGGAAGGAAGAAAGTTGAGAGAAGCCAACCGACGGCTAACCCTCCAAATTCAAGCTTCGTCTCCCGTGGTAAAGGGAAGGCCCCTATAGTTGCTGTTGATGCTAATCAGACGTCACAATAGCAATCCCGATGACAGCAAAAGACTTTAGGTCAGAGACTTCAAAAAGAGTACTCTTTCAAGGAAGAAGACGTTCCAGCTATTTTCGAATCCCTTCTTGAGAACAACAATATCAAGCTACCACCTATCGTAAATCAGGAGGAAGCTGATAATACTACGGATCCAAAGTACTATGCATACCACAGGAGGATCATTCATCCCACCAAGGCTTGCTTCACTCTCAATAATAGCATCCAAACCCTGGTTGAAGCTGACGTCATAACGTTAAATTAAGCCGAATGAAGACTCCGACAAGTATAAGAGTATAAACTGCTCCTTCCGACACTCCGAAAAGTATACGAATATAAACTGCTTCCCAATACTCCAACAGGTATATAAGTCTAAACTATTTCCTTTCTTTCACCGGAAGTTCCTGGAGAGTGCCATGCCTGGTATTCTTAAGGATAACCCGGTCATCCAACTAAGTACGATGTTAAACCCGATTTCGCAAAGAAAGTTTGGGGTGGATAATTCATGTAATGGGAATTTTCCGGAAGAATGTTACATGTAATATTCTTAAGGATAACCTGGTCACTATAAGAAGGTGATGAATAAGAAACTCCCACACAAACTCCCACTACGTCGGTGCACTCAACACTCCCATTGTTAGATACCGGACATAGTACTCGGAATTTTAATCTCCTGATCGTCAACAATTGTCAAACCCCTTCGTGTTAAGTATTTTTCATTTAACACCAGGGACTCTCTTCGAGTGATTTGTACGAATCAACACTCTCATGGTTAACACCAAGGAAGTAGCCAAAATGGTTGAGGATGCTCTAGCCAAGCAGAAAGAAGCATTAAAAATCGAAATGGAAATGACTATGCAGGAGATGAGACAAATGCACGACCAACAAATCCAAGCTTTGTCGAATCAACTAGGTGAATCCAGTCGTCACAACAATGTTAGCCAAACAGCTAGTGATTCAGACATGGATGAATACATCAATACTGATGACCCTCCCATTGACCAAAATACTGGGGGTGACCCCACTGAGAATAACAACGCCGGGGGTGGTCCCAATAATGATGACAACGGTGGGGGTGGCCCCATTATTCCTCCTCAAAACTGACCAAGGAAGGATACGAGCAAGGATGAAAAGATGAAAGAGCTCGAGAGCAAAATCAACGCTCTGATGTCTGCTCGAGAGGTGAAGAATGTTAGCCCTTATGTTTTGATGATGCTCTTACAACCACCATTATCGGTACTAATGGCTTATTGAGTGTAAATATAGTAAGTTTATTTATCAAGCTCGTTAGTGCCATTAATGGAGGATGGATGGAATATATGCTAAAACGATGATATCCAAAGGAGGAGGAGGCCAAGAGAGATAGGAACGTTATTTTAAGAACGACAAATTCGAATACAAGCTTCATCCGATTCAAGCTATATCAAAGCTCAAGTATTGTTCTTTATATATGAGGATATTAGCTTTCTTTTGTTTTTTCTCTCTAGTGCTAGAATGTAGGCAAAGAGTTACCGAGGTTACTTGAAGCTATCGGGAATCACACACACGATTTCATACTTAGGTTTTTAAGCGTTTTTCACAAAATACTATTTTTCATAAGTATGATGACCTATCTACAAAATTCCTTTTCTAAACAGCTTGTTTTTAGTATTAAAAACATTTTACAAAGTTTCAGAATTTTCAGAGGTCAAATAAATATT